TGTATAGTAAGTAGTATGTAGTATATATATATATATAATATATATATATATATATATTATATATATATAATATAACATATATATATATATAATGTGTGTGTGTGTGTGTGTACACACACACGCAACACACACACACACACACACACACACACACACACACACACACATATATATATATATATATATATATACTATATATATATATATAGATAATGGATATAATATATTATATATATTATATATACTATATATATATAGGTATATATATATATAGTATATATATAATATATTATAGTATGTGTGTGTGTGGTGATAGTCTGATATGGTGTGTGTGTGTAGTGTGTGTGTGTGTGTGTGTTGTGTATTCATATTTAACATACATATATCAATATCATATATATATATAATATATATTATATATGTATATATAGTATAATATATTACACACACACAAAAAACACACCACACACACAACAACACATGCACACAAACACACAACACACACACACACACACACACACCACACACACACACACACACACACACACACACACACACACACAATTATATTATATTATATATATAAATATATATATATATATATATATATATATATATATATATATACTATATATACACACATATAATATATATATTATATATATATATATATATATATATATATATATAATATCGCGTGCTTGTATTTGCGTATGTATTAATATATAATGTAAAATGTACAGTAAATAATAGTTAATCTGAAATTTTGTCCGTAAAGTATAAATCAATATGATTTTACTGGCGGTCGACACGTCATGCGTTCAGAGGACCAGCCGGTCAACCGCTGCCATGACACAGCAGGATCCGCCTCCCGCTGCACGCCGGTTAGCTTCTTTCTGCATGGCGAGTTTAACCCTTTCTTTATGGCGGATACTAATAACTGAGTTCATGGTATGATACGTATTGCTTGGAAGAAATAACTAGATTAAAAAAGGCTAGAAATAACTAGATTAAAAGGAGAAATAACTAGATTAAAAATAATTATGACATTCATCACCTATTATGTATTTCATGACGTAAAGGTTCTGCTTTTGTAGCAATTTATTTTTTTTTTTTCGAAGTCTTCCAGGAGTCATATTATACTTATGTGCCTGTATGAATAGGACATACAGACAAATGGATGATGCTTAGGTAGATATAGATAAAAGGAAAACTACAACGACAGATAGATAGATATAGATGTATACGAGGTCCCTCCGACCCACTTCCTTTTATTCCAGGAGGCTGAAATTTCACATGCCTAAAGATACATATTTCTACAGGTCATCTGTTGATTTCCAGTCCTCAACTCATGACATATTTTCTGTTACAGCGGTGAAGTCTGCAGTCCGCATGCTGCTTTTGAAGTCACATCAGAAATCAGTGTCTCAGCATCTTGGAACGATCTGCCTTTCAAAAAATGACTTCATGGACGGAAAGAGGTGAAAGTCATGTTAGGAAAATAAGGAGGAGGAAAATGGATGCAGCTGCATTGGGCAACATTCCACGCCTCTTGGTTTTGATAGCTTCCTGCAGTTTCTGTAGCGGGGAATCTTGGTAAACTCCGGTAATTGTAGTACCTTTTGCTTGGAAATTCATTATCACTACATGCTGGTCCCAAAAGACTGTGAGCATGACCTTGCCTGCCATGGGTGTGACACGTGACTTTTTGGGGGCTGTACATTCACTGATCTCTCTCATGTAAAACTATCTTATATCACTCCTGACTCGTAATTTTTAGCACTTAATGTCACTGACCTAACCACGACATTTCTCTTACTCATTGCCAGATGTCACACGATCTTATATATATATATATATATATGTGTGTGTGTGTGTGTGTGTGTGTGTGTGTGTGTGTGTGTGTGTGTGTGTGTGTGTGTGTGTGTGTGTGTGTGTGTGTGTGTGTGTGTGTGTGTGTGTGTAAAGATTGTATATATATTGTATATTGTATATATAGAATATGTGTATGTGGTTGTGTGTACATAAATATACAAAATCGCGTTAACTTTTTAAAATTTACATTAAGTAAAAAAAAGATTAAAACAATTGAAGCGTTTACAGGACAATGACTTACTTCGACTGATAACTTGAATTAAGGTAATGGAGGTCGCATGTGTTGGTTCATTCTCTTTGTCGCTTATTTCTGGGACACAATACGGTTTTTCTGATGCACAATTCACGCACAAATTCCATTCACTTCCACACAGTCCACACATCACGACCACGGGCCAAAGGAACACAACTCGTGACGTCACTGCCGGATTGGTGGCGCCTCTTGTTCTATTCCAAAATTTCTTCAGCAAATGGCGTTTTATGAATGAGGAATTTCGAAAGGCATCAAACAAAAAAGGCAATTTAGAGCAACATTCATTTCTTAACAAATTCGAGGCCCTAAAAATACAAATTCACCTTAAACTACTCAACCTGTATTTACATTATGGTTACTCTTTAAACTAAGGAAACTCTTGAATAATATTTATTGTGATATCAAAACCTAATCCTCTGGAACTTGGTTTCTGCTATTCTCATTTCCTAAAGACTGGGGACCAAGAGAATCTCTAAATACGTGTCTGAGGTTAGGAAGGGCACCACACAGCGTAGATGCCTTCAGCTGCCAAATAAAGGTCCTGCTTACAGTAAATGGCTGATATTCCACAATGACATAACTGTCAATGTTTGCGATAGAATTAACCAAAGCTACCACATTGGTTTCCAACTCTTCTAGGCTGTGCACCCGATTTGACAAGGCCTTACAACTCTGTTAACCCTACCATATAAGCAATTAAAAAGATTTTCCCTACAAGATAGGCAATTAGTAACTCGCCTTTTTAATCTAGTTATTTCTTCCAAGCAATACGTATCATACCATGAACTCAGTTATTAGTATTTTTTATTTCCCTCCACATTTCTCACTGGCAATACACATCTGACTGTATATTCCTCTGACATACATATACAGTCAGAGGAATAAGTATCGTTACGTTTACTTCTAGTCAATGAGGAGCTGAACGCAAATTTCGTTAGCCCGTCCCGTAGGTAGTGTTGCCATATGGCGATCTTTTTACAATATTTGAGGACTGAGATTGACTAGTCAAATATTTGGAGACTACATTTCGATGACCTTGCGTTGTTTCGTCTATGTATTTATGTTTATATCTTATTATTATTATCATTATTTTTTTTTTTTTTTTTTTTTTTTTGTGTGTGTGTGTGTGTGTGTGTTATCGCACCATTTCACTCTCATCATGACTTAAATGACGAAAAAGAAGAAAATATATTTATCCTCGTTTTCATAATTCATAATAACCAATTTCATAAATCAAATTTTTAAATTGTTATTACTATCCATTTACATTATGTAAATCGAAATAAAGCACTACATGCCTTCAGGTGTCCGTAAATTGCATTAATCGAGAGCGGGTTTATAATGCTTTCAATAGGGATATAAATGCTCCAGATGCATTGACAAACGCTTTACATGGATGCCTTCAAGTTAATATGGATTGGGAATGGTATTTTGAACCTTATGCACCATGGAGACGTCTTACAGTTTGCGAGGAGCTATTGTCGTTGTGGTGAAATCAGGTCATGGCGTTTGGAGGCTGTTTAGCGGCAGGGGAGGGAATGCATATTATTTAGATATAAACTCGTATTACTCTCCTTTCAAGCAATACAAGTTAATATTAAAGTGTGTGTGTGTGTGTGGGTGTGTGTGTTTGTGTGTGTGTATGTGTGTGTTATTTTTGTCAATATAGAGGAATTCACGCGATATTTCGCAAAATCAAAACATGATTATTTTCTAAATACATGACCGTTCAATTGTCATACAGAGACATCTAATAAATCAGAAAAAAACGAAATTGTAATTACCAGATTTTGACTTTTCCATAAATAAAAACATAATTTTGAGACAAGCATTGAGAAAACATTAACTGCTTCCTATACATTAATAATGTGACTGAAAACTAAATTCTACTTGCCAATCATTTCCTTTGAGGGATAATCAAGAAATCAGTAAATGGATGCAAGGAATAGTATAACCCTTTGATACAGCTCTTATTTTTGCTCATATCCGAAATGGGGCGTAAATATGTGTAGACATTTATAGAAATACATTATTAGATAAGCTTTATACAACACTGTCCTCTTGAACTTCAACATATATCCATCTCTTCTTTAGCTCTAAACAAATGCGAGAAATATAAACCAATAAAAATGTAAATTTGCCATCTCTTGCCTGTTAATTGCACTGCTCTTTGTCTTATTTATTTATCTTTTTTTGATCGCCCATGTTTTTTTTTTTTTTTTTTTTTTTTTTTTTTTTTTTTGGCATACAGAATGTAAAACGTGTTTTGCTTATTTTAACGACTCCAGTGTTTAATAATATTACTATATCGTAAAACCTACACATCGTCAATTTTTCATATCAGAAAGTGTAAAGGATACCGTTAATTTTTAAACTCTACATGTAAGAATCCTTTGCCTTCTATAAAATATTTATTACATTCCATCCAGTTGATTTACGTATTTCATATTTCCACTGTATACTATAATATCTCGCGGCCGGATATCTCGTTTTTTTCGAAATTCTCAAGTTTTTTCGTTACCCTCTGCCGCCCCCCCCCCCCCTAGTAACTTTATTACCCTTAAATTGGAAATGATGTAGGTAATTACATAAACTTAATCAAACTTCATGCAGGATATTTTATTTCATTACCATTGGATTCGCTAGTTTGCATTCGAATCTCTGCTTTAATGTGTTTTAATTATAGGTGGGTGACATTCTTGCAAGCACTGCGAGCATGCAATCAATGCCCGAAAAGCAGCAGCAGAAGTGACTCCCCTTGGGTCGCAGATGCCGAGCCAGCAAAGTGCATATCGATAGGACTTTACCCTGTTATGAAATGCGGGACGAAAGCCGACAAGGAGAAGCTTTTCCGAAAGTCGCCCGCAGCTTT